GTTAATCTCGATTAATCTCAGCTGGCGGATCAACACTCGCCACATGATCACTCTCATCAGCCATTATTTGTTAGTGGGTTTGTAAACCCTTTGTACTTTACTTTGCTTCTTCCTTAAACTTCAGACGTATGCAGTTCCCGCGGTCACAAAAGCCCCATGTCATTTTAACTAGGTGCGCCTGAAAAGCGTGAATGCGTTACGTGTGTGTGCTTCCTTTGCAAATAACGAACTTGAACGAGCTTGCCTTAATTAATAGCCTTAGTCATAGTCAGTTCACTGTGCGTGGTTATTAGTCTCGGTGTACAAACTAGCTCACAGTTGGCATAACTTTGTCTAGTTGCTGCAGTTTTGTTTCGTGCAAAACCACAGGGTTGAAAAGCCTTCACGATAATTAACCGTGACGAATTAAATCAGGGTTAATAGTGAAACCGGTTAATCATCGCATCCCAAGACAGCGTTTTCAAAAATTAATTTCCTAAAAGCACTGTCTCAGTGTGGACTGAAAGCCGAAACGGAGAGGAACAAATACGCATTTTTAAAGTAAAGCATATTAGTGAGCACACGGCCTGTGAAGGATGCTTACCAAGACATGCTCACACTCGCCCCGTCCTGATTAAAAGACAACTGTGAATCTGCTGACCACAACAGCAACTGCTTTCAGCAACTGGCAACACACTCCTACACACCCGGCAGTGAAATGTGTGTGGATGCACGAAAACACAAACTGGCCTGACGTAATTGCGGGTGCGAGGCATGTGTTTGTGTGTGGACGTTCGCTTTGTCCTCTCTGGTTTCCTGCTGTGGTATTTATAGATGCCAAGGCTCGGGGCACAGATTCAGCTATAGAGCCTGGCATTCAGAGCACTGCAGTCCAGTACAAAGGCTGACCCTGGATCTGTCGTGAACTGCAGATACGCTTATGAGAAGCCTTTGTGAGCTACTGTACTTGAAGCGGCATGAAGGAGGTAAGGGTTAATAAAGCTGACCTGCTGTAGAAAAGAGAGAATAACAATCAGAAAGAGGAGGATGAGAGTGGCATGTGGGTTCTGCCGCATGAATGCCGGACACATTCCAGGTCAACACCCTCCCTGAGCTAAATCTGCACATTTGTACATAGAAATCATAGATTATATTTATATAGTAGCGTTCAGATGTTTGTGGTCAGATTGAATGCTTTATGACGGCTTGTTTAACTATATATAAAGTAGTTTTTCCCTGTGATGTGTGCAGCATCAGCATCATTGCACCAGTTTTCAGGGCTACAAAATCCTTCAGAATCATGCTGATTATCAACTCAATTCCTTATAATGTTGAAAACAGATGTGCTTAATATTTTGATGAAACTGTGATACGTCCGTTTATTCATTCATCCATCCATTTGTACATATGTGCTTCTATCTATCCAAACTTCCTATCCATGCTTCCATCCATCCATCCATCAATCTGTCCATCCATTCATCCGATGGTCTGTCTATCTGTCCATCCATCAATCCATCTATCTGTAAAATATCCATTTATCTTTCCATTCATCTATCCTGCAATGCCTCCAGCAATCTATCAATTTATTTGTCTATCTATCCATCCATTCATCAATCTGTCCGTCTATTCATCCATTAGTCTGTCCAACTATCCATCCATCTATGTTTATCTGTCCATTTATTCATCATCCATGTATGCATGCTTCCATCTATCCATCCATTCATCCAGTAGTCTGTCTGTCTGTCTGTCTATCAATCCATCTATTTGTATATTATCCATCCTTCTGTCCATCCATCCATCCATCCATCCATCCATTATTCAATGAGTCCTGCAATGCTTCAATCCATCCATCCATCCATCAATCTGTCTGTCTGTCCATTTATTTATTGGTCTGTCCAACTGCCCATCCATCTATATGTTTATCTGTCCATCCATCAATCCATCAATCTGTATATTATCCATCCATCGGCCAATATATCTTTTCATGAGTCCTGCAATGTGTCCAGCTATCCATCTATATATCTGTCCGTTCATCCATCTACGCTTCCATCTATCTATCCATCCATCCATCAATTTGTCTATCCATTCATCCATTGGTCTGTCCAACCATCGATCCATCTATATGTTAATCTTTCTATCCATTCATCCATCCATGTACCCATGCTTCCATCTATCCATCCATTCATCCAATGGTCTGTCTGTCTGTCCATTCATCAATCTATCTGTTAATTATCAATCTATCCGTCCATCCATCCATCTTTCCATGACTCCTGCAATGCGTCCATATATCCATCTATTTATCTGTCCATCTATCCATGCTTCCATCTATCTATCCATCCATCAATCTGTCCATCTATTTATTCATTGCTCTGTCCATTCATATGTTTATCTGTCCATCCATTCATCCATCCATCCATGTATCCATGCTTCCATATATCCCTCTATTCATCCAATGGTCTGTCTGTCTGTCTCCCCATCTATCTGTACATCAATCCATCCATCTTTCCATACATCTTTCCATGAGTTCTGCAATGCATCCAGCTATACATATTTATCTGTCCATCTATCCATGCTTTCACCTGTCCATTCATCCATCTTTATATGAGTCCTAAAATGCATTCAGCTATCCATTTTTTTTCTGTCCATCTATGTCTGCTGTTCTATCTATCTATCTATCTATCTATCTATCTATCTATCTATCTATCTATCTATCTATCTATCTATCTATCTATCTATCTATCTTACAATATGTCTATATATTCATCTTTTGGTCTGTCCATCCATCCATGAATATATCTATCTGCAGTGTGCTAATTCAGAAGTGTGTATGTGTGTGTTATGTTTATGAGTGTGTTAACTCTGCTTTTGACCCATTTTCCTCTAATACATGACATCTTTTTCCATCTCTGATGAAACTGGGTTGAACTGATGTGAAGTGGGCCAGAGTGTGCCCTTCTCTGGCTCAAACAGATACACCTAACGGTCCTGACGTACAAAGCCTCATGGGACATCCAGTTTGATAACCATTGTTTTAAACTAAATACTTTTTGAGATTGTTTTCTTTATACAGTTTATAATCTAACAGTTTTGATAAAGAGAGTGCTGATGATGCTTTAAAATTCTAACAGCCAAATGCTAAACCCATATATTATGTACAATAAGTCATGCGCTTGATCTTAAAGCTGATGTAGGACAAAATTAACATTGGGATCAGCTAAAAAAAGCCATGAACTCAGGTAAAACCGTGATCTGTCAGCAAAAGTTGATGTGCAGGGAGAAAAATTATGAGGTGGAATGCACATCCAGGAATTCTCCTCACACTAAACGGTGGATCATTTGTTATTTGTTTTTTTAGTTAGAAAACATAAATAAACTTTTTTAAACTTTAATCCATTTCACATCTCTGCATGAAACGAAAGAGACTTTCTCTCATCGTAGACTCCTCTGAGTCGCTGTAAACACACACACAAACAGACAAAGATGGCATTGTTGCACTTTGAGTGGGTTCCATGGGGACGTAGAGTTTGTGAGTGGACCCTTGTACTAAAATAATGAGGGAAAGCGGGACAATGGTTGTTCAGAGAGAGAGAGGGTGAGAGCGAGAGGGACCCTAGAGTAAAACATTATCTTGGCACGGTGAGAATGCTCAAAGAGGGAATTTGTGCTAATTTAATGTGAGAATTCTGTCTTATTAGTCTGTCCTGCTTTTATTGAGAGATTCTACTCATGCAGTACTTAAATAAAATAATCATAATAGTCAATTTGCATTAATAATGAATGAACGATATTGCAATGTGCATAGCACCAAAGCAGAGAGAAAGAGATTTTCTCCCATAATACTCAGATCACACACACACACACACACACACACAAAAAAATCAAGAATAATCAGGGATTTAATATGAGCATTAAAATTTCATCTCATCCAAGAACACAATGATCCCAAAACACTCTCACTCACTCTCTCGCTCGCTCTCCCTCTCTCACACACACACATACACAAACATAGGAATCTATTTTACTCCCACTCTAACTGCATTAATATTTAATATTTATATCACATTACCAACACTTACCATAAAAACTTTGAAATATAAAAAAAAAACTTATTTTTAATGTTAAATTCCTAAACTGTAAAAAAATATATGATCAATTAGTCATGACAGCATATGTTTTTAGTTCATTGTAACTTATTGAACTAAGTTAATCATGTTGTAAATTGATTGTTTTAGGTTGTTTAAAGGTTGTTTTGTTGGTGAGCTGTTTTAAGTCAGCTTAACATAAGTTCAATGTACTCAAAAATGTAATTTGATTCAGCTTAAAAATTTAAGGCAACCAGGATTTTTTGTCATCTATTCATTTTAAATAGTATTAAATAATATGAATTTTAATAAATTCATATTTTATTGTTACTATGCTAATAATGTCCACTTTTAATTTATGTAATATTTTATTTTAATAAAATTCTTAAAATTAATTAGAATTAAAAACATGCTTATAACATAACTAACTTAAGAAAAAAATGGATCAAAAATTGCAAAATGCCAAGGATAACAGTTTGAAGGTATAACCCTGACATCGTCTGCACGATCACCATATTGCCTGTGCCCATTGGTCACATATATATGTGTGACATTGTTGACCCATGTATAATGCTCTAGGAACTGAAGTGATAATGGTAGTTAAAAAAATTGTCTTTTTTTTCATTTTCATTTTTTTTCCTTTTTTCTTTTTAGTCTTTATAATTGTTGTTGCTTTTTGTATTGATTAAGGAAAATAAAAATAACATTTAAAAAAAATGGATCAAAAATGAGCTGAAAAGACTCATAAAGATTCCTTCTTACGCAGGAACACGGTGATCCCAAAACTCTCCCCCTCTCTTTCTCTGTCTACTACAAGCACACAAACTCAATATAACCCAAAATAATGTTCACCACAAGTCATATCAGCACATTACACACCTTCATTAACTCGATTAAATCTGTATGCATAGAGATAAATGTTTAAAACACCATACTCACCTTTTAAACATTGTCTCCATGTCTTTGATCTGTTTGCGTGAGAACTCTTTAAACTCGGTGTATGGGTTGAACACCTTCATCTGCTTGGGTTTCGCGGTGCCGTCGTGGATGTCCAGTCTGCGGTTGAGTTTCTCCGTCAGTTCAGAGGTTGTGTCGTCGCTCATGGTAGTGGCGGGTTTCACCGGCGTCTCCTCGTCCTGTGTACCGGGATTGGTGTCGGCGTCCAGCCTGCGCTGCAGCTTCCGTGCGAGCTCTTCGGATGACATTGCGGACTGTGATGATGCTCTGCTCGGGATCAGCTGTTTCTGAACAGTTGTGTGTGTGGAGTTTGATGGGAGGCGGGGCTGCAGAGCACTGAGTCATTACACGTGAGATTTCAAGCCCAGTGAGATTCAGAGCAGAAACAGCATGTTCGCCAGTGGGTATACTAGTAGACTCTATAATTGTCACGATTTGGATTGAAGTCAACATTGCGGCAGATTGATTTATAAAAGTATGTTGCGTTGGCCGGGAATCGAACCCGGGTCAACTGCTTGGAAGGCAGCTATGCTCACCACTATACCACCAACGCGATGAAACGATACGCTCGTAGAGTGAAGAAAAAAATAAGGAGAAGAGAAAGTAAGTCAAACAGCTTTTGAAAGAGTGATACAGGGTAGGCGAGTAAACGAGCATAGAATTATTCCGTTTTGGATGAACTATCGCTTTAAGGATTACGTGCATTCAAAGACGTTTTAACAAATATGTTATATGTTACTTTACAACTGCGCCGCCTGGTGGCAAGAGAAACTCAAGCATGCCAATTACACGGATTCTGTTAAACATGTTGCATTTTTTCTGATTCAGGTCTCTTGTATTTGCACTGTTATAGAGGCTTTGAATTAACTATCAAATGCTGATGTGAAAGCAAAGTCAAACAAAAAGTGCTCAGAGGTAGCTTAAATAACGTGTCGGTGCTCTTTTGGTAAGGGATTCATCAGAATAAACAGCAAATCTGTCCTAGACACTCAAAAAACGTGGGAAAAATGTTTAAAATTGTATATTTTTTCCACATTTTTGACTGCCTTGGACTGAATTTTTCTGTTTATTTAATGTTTATTTTATTTTACAAAGAGGGAAGGCCTATATTCTTTTTAAAAACATAAAAGTAAACCTTTACAGATCCTTTTCCTTTGTTATTCTCTATTAAACGAAAGCAATATAATCACATTACTTTCAGTACAATGAAATCATAGTTTCATAATATCATGCATTGTGACATGTTGTCGCCATCTGCTGGATAAGAGTAATTAATAAAAAGAAATGAGGAAATAACAGGTTTAGACACTAGATGGCAGCAGAGAGCATTTACTTAGACCAATTGAAAAGAAACTGAATAAGAGCGTAACAGTTCTGCATGTGTAGAAATTTAGAAACCATATACAATACAGTAATTACAGTGAAATATATTACAACAAAAATTATTTAACCATTAACAAGCAAATTACTGTCTCATAAAGGGATTGTTCACCGGAAAATGACAATTTTCTAAACCTTAATGAATTGTTGTTCTTCTGCTGAACAAAAACAAGTTATTATTAAAATATGATGGAAGTAAATGGCTACTGCTTTAGTGTTCAACAGAAGAAACTCAGGTTCTCTATTTGAACAATAAAACCAATCAATTTAATATTTCTGCTACTCCTCAAATGAAGAAAACTAAAGAAATAAACCACAAGAAACATGAGATTTATTGAAAACACAACTTAATTTGAACAAAAAAGTTGCTCTGTCATCCCATTTATTTCATAGTCCTGAGGCCTATATGGATTAGCTCTTGGCACTCCTAATAGCAACAGAGAGCATTGATTGAAAAGAAATTAAAAGATGGTGTTAAAGTTCTGCATGTGTATATTTAGAAACCATATACAATACAGTAATTACAGTGAAACTTATTACAACAAAAACTTATTTAACCCTTAACATGTGAGTTACTGGCTCTTAAAGGGACAGTTCACCCAAAAATGAAAAATTTCTCACAGTGGTTCTAAACCTTAATGAATGTCGTTCTTCTGTTGAACAAAAAAACAAGTTATTATAAATATTTTAGAAACAAGTGATATTAAAGGAACAAAAATACTATGGAAGTCAATGAATGCTGTATTTGAACATTCTTCAAAATATTTTATTTTGTGACCAACTGCAGAAAGAAACTCAGATTTGCAACAAGTGGAGGATAAGTAATGACAGATTATTAATTTGAGGTAAACTATCCCTTAACAACCCTCTTGAACATTTAATGATACTCATGCAGGTAGCATTAATTAAATAATGAACCTCAACCCTTAAAACCTGTTAACTAACAAGGACAAAACTCTTCAATTGGATTTTCTATATGAAAAATACAATTTAATACATTTATTATTTCGGTAACACTTTACAAAAACAGTACATGAATAATGATGTATTAAAATGTAAACTAAACATACTTTACTATGAAGTACTTTATCATAAACTAAGGATGAGTCATTATGTGCGCTAATCATGGACTAACTTTAAATACAACATGAGTCACATGAGTTCATATGTGAATATTGTCTACCTTAATTACTTGTTAGTACATGATTCTTAATTAATGTATTAATTAACATCTAAGTTTAAGATAAATATAACCAACATGAACTCATGAGCTGTTAATTTATAATTATGATGACTTTACTTGAAGGGGCACATCATCATTAACTCATCCTTAACTACTCATGAACTCCTGTGCTTAAACTGTTCGTGTTGATGTTGACAGAACACTTTTCTATTGTTATTCAGTGTAAACGCACTAGACGAACATATACAAGGAGTTCAAGAGTGAGTTAATGATGATGTGCCCCTCTAAGTAAAGTCATGATATAATTATGAACATATCATGAGTTCATTATGGTTAAATTAAGCATAAACATTAATTTACAAGCAATCATATACTAACAAGTAATTAAGGTAGCCGTTATTCACACATGAACTCATGTGACTCATGCTGTAGTTAAAGTTAAGTAATGTTTAGTTTGCATAACACATCATTACTCATGTACTGTTATTGTAGTTACCAGCATTTCTGCTACTCCTTAAGGAAAACAACTTTAAACACAAATTAATTGAACAAACAGTTGCTCTGGTCATCTTATTTGCTTCATATATCCATAGCATGCACAATGTGATGTTTTTTAAGGAGTCCTGAGGCCTAAGGATTAGCTCTTGTGTGAATTTGGCTGTGTTTGTTAAGGTGGCTTTTTTGTGTGAAGCTCTTTCCACAGTCAGTGCACGTGAACGGTCTTTCTCCAGTGTGAATGATCTGGTGACGTTTTAACTGGAAGGCTGTAATAAAGGTCTTGTCGCATTCAAAGCACATGTGATTTTTGGCAGCGGTGTGTGTTCTCTGGTGCTTTTTGCAGTTGTCCATTCGAGTAAAACTCTTTCCGCAGACAGAACACACATGAGGCTTCTTCTTCGTATGGGTTATTAGGTGAATGTTCAGATTTGATGATGAGCCGAACTGCTTTCCGCACTGATCACAGTGAAATGGCTTTTCTCCAGTGTGAACACGCATGTGACGAGTGAGATGTGACGTATCTGTGAAACTCCTTCCACATTGTTTGCAAGCGTGTGGTTTCTCTCCTGTGTGAATCGTTAAGTGCTTGTTGAGATCTCCATTTTGCCTGAAACTCTTTCCGCAGTGTGTGCAGATGTGTGGATTTTCTCCAGTGTGTATTTGTGTGTGCTTCTTAAGGTGGCCTGTTTCTGTGAAGGTTTTTCCACACTGAGAGCAGGTGTGAGGTTTCACTCCACTGTGAAGTTTTTGGTGTCTCTTTAAGCTGACGGATGTGATGAAGGTCTTCCCACACTGCAGGCAAACATGATCTCTTTCCCTGTTATGTATTTTTTGATGCTGTTTGCAGTTGTCCAGACGAGAAAAACTCTTTCCACATTTGGGGCAAGAGAAAGATGCTTTGGTTGTCAGTTTTCCTTTTTGCAAAAATGTTAAAGTGTTGTTATGATGTTCCTCTTCCATGGTCTTGTTGTTTTATCCACACTATATTAGAAATATTTAAGTATCAGAATCAGTTTAAAACCATCTAAAGGAACGTCAGATAAAAACAATTCAAGTCAATGCCACTGACTCTTAAAATATATGTTTGTATCAAGATTCTCTGTCATTTGACTATTCAATATAATCAATTGTAGATGACTGCTATAAAATGATACAATGATTGATAGGGATTTTTCATGCTTAAGAGAGCATGGACATTTTCACAGTATGTCTGATAATATTGTTTCGTCAGAACAAACCATCATTATATAATAACTTGCCTAATTACCCTAATCTGCCTAGTTAACCTAATAAACCTAGTTAAGTTTTTAAATGTCACTTTAAGCTGTATAGAAATGTCTTGAAAAATATCTAGTCAAATATTCTTTACTGTCATCATGGCAAAGATAAAATGAATCAGCTATTAGAGATGAGCTATTAAAACTATTATGTTTAGAAGTGTGTTGAGAAAAATCAGCTCTCCGTTAAACAGAAATTGGGGAAAAAATAAAGAGGGGGGCGAATAATTCAGAGGGGCTAATAATTCTGACTTCAACTGTGTGTTTGTGTGTGTGTGTCTATATATATATATATATACAGAACTTTTCCAGGCGCAGAGCAAAATTGGAGTGGCCGTTTGCTGAAGTTTCCAGCGCCTTATGGACCTGAAGCCACAAAACTGGATGAGCTCTCAGATGTAGTGACAGGCCAAGCAGGGTACCCTGCATCACTTGTCTCACAGACCGACTCCAGTGAAAGGTTTAGACTGCAGTATATGGAGCCTGGTAGTCATCCTGTTCCTCTTGACTGTGACAAGCACAAGTTCCAATACAAGAAAGGAAGAGCATTGGGCCCCATTTACACAACATTTTAGTTTTAAAACGCATATCTTTTGCTTTCTCCAGAAAAACTCACATTTTTACAAGTGCAATACTCATATATTCTACAACAATGAGTTTATGCAATAAAAAACAAAGGCAAGCAGTCAGCCAAATGTGCAGAATCAGTCTACGTAATTACATAAATTAATATATTAACTTATCTTTGCACTTAGGTAAAACACGTTACCTAAGAACAAGTAGCAAATAGATTCAAATAATAAATAAGACCAAAGAGTCATTAAATATAGACAAGATGAATTTGATATCACTTTTAACTAAAATGAGATTAAATCCAGCAATATATACTTACTTAACTGTCTGTTGTGTGCTTCTTTTAAAGCACCTGCAGATTGTCTGGAGCTCAAA